AGCCAGACCTGGATCTGCCCCCCAGCAGTGAGCAGTGCCTGGAACACCCCAGTACTCAGCATTTCATCCCTTTGCTTGGAAATGTTCATGTTTTTGCAAAGTTTCAGTAGCTCCAGGGGCTCCCCAGTCCATGCAGCTGCCATGTGAACACTCCTGGCTCTGGGAGAACAGAAAAATAGGAGAGTTGTTTTCCAACCTGCCATGTGAAAGTTTCAGAGATACCAAACATGATAAGGAGAGGTGTACAGCCTCAAGAGCAGCTTTGGAGGATGTTGAGCAAGCAAGACAAAGCCCCAGCTGGCCCAGTTGTGGCAATGTGACATGTAGGGGCAGGAGCTGAGTAGCACCAGACTCTGTGCTCCAACATGCACCAGGACAGATAACTGGTGGGTTAGGGTTCAGAAAACCCCAGAGCACAGGAATGTGATGATAAACCCGTCCCTTTGAGAGCCACGCCCTCCTGTCACGTATGACATGTTTGCTAGAAAATCAGAAGCTTGTTGGTGAGGACAGAAAGATTGATTACACAAGTTCTGTTATGAAACCAACCTAAAAAAAAACTCAAGTAAAAACATGATAAGACAAACAGCACTTGTTTTGAAGAAAACATTGTTTTTATCTCATCTTCTTCCTTGAAGTTATCAATAATCCACTTACAAGTCAGCACACCTGGAAAGCAGGACACACAGTCTCGTGCTGGGCTTCCTGGAAAGACAAACACACAGGTGGGGTTGCCTGGTGTAAACTATCATAGAATCATAGAATCATAGAATATACTGAGTTGGAAGAGACCCACAGGACCATCCAGTCCAACTCCTGGCCCTGCCCAGGACACCCCAACAATCCCACCCTGTCCCTCAGAGCATTGTCCAAACCCTCCTGGAGCTCTGGCAGCCTTGGGGCTGTGCCCACTGCCCTGGGGAGCCTGGTCAGTGCCAACCACCCTCTGGGGGAAGAACCTTTTCCTGAGATCCAACCTGAGCCTGCCCTGGCACAGCTCCAGCCATTCCCTGGGTCCTGTCACTTGTCAAGAGAGTGAAGAGATCAGTCCCTGCCCCTCTGCTGCCCCTGGTGAGGATGTTGAAGACCCCAAAGAGGTCTGACCTCAGTCTCCTCTTCACCAGGCTGAACAAAACAAATGTTCTCAACTCCTCCTCATAAAGCTTCCCCTCCAGACCCTTCCCCAGCCTCGTGGCCTCCTTCGGACACTCTCTAATAGCTTCATGTCTTTTTTATACTGTGGTCTTTGTGGCCAGCAATCCAGTTCTCCAAGGCTTCATCCTCCTCCTGCCATCCCGTGAATTGCCCTTTATTTCCCATTTCAGCTACCACAGTAAGTCCCAGTCCCGATCCAATGCAGACCTGTGCTAGAAAGTCCCAGGTAGTTTAAGGATATCTAATATTAGCTAAACACTACATTTCTCCTTGACTTATTTTTCTATAGAGTTAACTTTGTGTTTTCAACCTCTTGAAGCAGATGAATCCTCTCTGCCATGAGCACTGTTCCTGTATGTGTCAGACCTGGGAGGGGGTGTTTCAGCCTCAGCTGCTCAGTTCAGCAAACTAAGAAGTGTTTGCACTTGGGGTTTTGAACCTGGTGAAAGGTGTTCAGCATCTGTAACCACAGGCACTACTTCCAACCCCAAACAAATGCTTTCGTGTCGGTGAGGTTGCTGTGTACTGCTCAAAAGACTCTCAGGATATCCTAAAAATAAATACATAGATAATAACTTGCAGAAGCCACAGTTACCTCAATAATGCTTAATTATACTCAGTTTACATAGTTTACAGGATCGTTTATGTTTCTTGGACTCAGATGTCCTAGTTTCCTCCTTTTCTCTTTCCCACTTGCCTTGGGACAGTCCCCAGCATTCTTGAGAAGTTTGGAATGAGAAGGAAATCTCTGCATCAGACTTGATTTTCCCTCCTTGCATGGGATGACCTCCATCCCAGCACTGCCCTTCCCCAGCACCCTCGAGCCAGGTATCCCAGGAAGCAGGACACAGGGCAGAGCCACACACCCCATGTGTCTGTGGAGGTCCCACCTTACTCAACAAAGTCATGGGTGCTCCTGCCACCACCCCACTCAGAAACCCTCAGCACCCTGTCGTGGCCCATTATATCCATCACTCACTGCCTCTGTCTCTAACACCCAGGGCTTCTGGGCAGCCTTCATACATCCAGGACTGTTTCAACCCTGTTCCCTGCCCCAACCCATGCGAGGGGATGCAGAGATCCCCACAGACCCCCAGCAGCCATTCCCTGAGTAACCGCGATGCTTCATCAGTGGTGGTGAATGTTTCATCAGGGGACACAGCCCTGTGGGTCCCTCCAGGGATGCTGTGGGTGCCCTGCCCCTCCTGTGGGCACCTGTAAGATGTGTAACGTGTGTAAGAGACCTTAAACATCTTAGAAGACAGATGTTTAAGACATCTGAGGGAAAAGAGCAGAGCAAAGAAGGTGAGTGTTCATAAAGGCTCTGGCCAACCAATTCTTGGACTCCATGCCATGGAAGTCTTTTGCTGTTGAGTTTATGCAGCAACACCCAGGGGCTTCCCTTGTCTCCCATTTGTCCTGGTGTTTTCCCTCCTACCCATTCACAAATTTCTTCAAACTTGGAAGAGGGCTCAAATATGAGCTTAAAAGGAAAGTGCATGGGCTGGTCAGGTGGTAGTTCAGTGACTAGTAAAGTCACTGGATAAAATCACCTTCTGAATTTCAGCACTTCAAGTCTACTCTATTTGTGCCAGTCCTGGCTTCTGATCACTCCCATCTTTTCTCTGTATCCCCTCTTGGTTTACTCCAGGGTGAGGTGGCCACCTTCACACTCACCTTGTGACAGATCAAAGGTGCAGGTGTCAAGGTCAGATTGGATGTGGCTCTGAGAAACCGGATTCAATTGAAGATGTCCTTGCTCATGGCAGGAGGGTTGGACTAGATGGGCTTTAAAAGTCATTTCCAACCCCAGCTATTCTATGATTCTGGGTTTTTTTCCTGTTTCAAATTACATTCCTAATTGTTCTTGAAGGAGGGCTGTTATGCCTGAAAGCTCATCCACTTTTTTCCAGCTGTATCAGCTCATCTAATAGAAACTATTATTGTCCTCTGTGGGCCTCACTTTTTTTATCCATTTAGATCATCATGCCTACAAAAGCAATAATGCCAATTATTCCTAACATGCACTTGTCTGGTGAGCAGTGTGGACCAGAGAGCAGGTGCAGTCACAGACCAAGTGGAGGAAGGCTCAGGTCTCTTTCTGAACACCAGTTAACAGCCAACACTCTCCTGTGGGTCCACCACTTGCCCTGCACTTCCCTGGCAGACTCTGCTGTTGGCCTAACACTGAGAGATTTGCAAGGCTTCTTTTGCAGAGGTTCTCAGTCAACTTTACATTTTAACATAGTGAATAATTTATAATCATCTTAGTCAGATGATTTAGAGATCTCTTTATCCCATTTCCCAGGTTCTGTGGAAATAAATGCATCTACTCTCCCTTGTAACAGCTGAGTATCTATTCCTTCTCCTTCGTTCTTATTTTGCCTCCAATTAAAAAAGCAGGGATGTTCCCCTTGTTATTTCAGGATTATTAAAGGGTGTTTCGTAACATACCTTAGAGGAAGGTTTTTGAGCAGCCAAGTGAACAAAGCAGAACTTGCTCACCTGTTTGTTGACTCCTTGGGTGTGTTTGTGAGACGTCTCTGTGCACACAGGGCTGCCCCCTCCCAACAGAGCACGTTCATTCCTGTGCCCCCAAGCCCTTCACCGCAGTCTCTAATGGATTTCCCCAGCACAGAACTGAAACTCACTGTTCTGTTGATCCTTAAACCACCCATTCAGTCTTTGGTTTTGTGCAATGGATGTGTTCATTATGTGCTTTTGTGCCCTCAGAATGTTGCTCTTGGAAATCCCTCTTTGCCCTGATCCTTCACTTGCCAGAATTGCTGCTTTCTTCTCCCTTCCCATTCAGACAGGACTCACAGCCCGTCCCTCTCGGAGGGATCTCTGTTTGTGTGCAGTTTCCTGTGTAAGTACACTGGCATTCTTCTCCTAGAACAGCTTTCCAAAAGGTCACATATATTTACCTGAACCTTTCATGTGAAGTCTTCAAGAAATTCACCCTGTCTGAACTCATCCTTTTAGTTGCTCCTTTGGCTTCAGTCAGATGCTCCATTTCTGTTGCTTGTCCCTTTGCAATTCCTCAGAACTGGGGGGGTATTTCGGGTTGCTGCTTCTCCCAGAAATCTCTGACTCTACCTCTATGACAGCTGGCTTTTCTGCAGCTACCTCTTGAACCCATGTAATTCTTCTGACTAAAGCCAGCCTTACAGAGCCCTGAAGGACACCACTCATCACTGGCCTGTACCTTGACATTGACCACAACTCTCTGTCTGCCTCCATCCAGCCAATTTTTTATCCATCAAGTAATCCACCTTTCAAACCCATAGCTCTCCAATTTGGAGATAAGGATGTTGTGTGGGACCATGGGCTTTACAGAAGTTTGCATAGATGTCATAGGTGATCTTTGCATAGATTGTCCTCTCTGCATGGAGGGGATCCAAGTCCCTTATTAATCCACTTTCCATGCTGTCATCTCTCTGAGCTGCTCTGAGCTGCTCTTGAACACTGCTCTTAAGACCTGTCAGGAACCTGTGAGGTGCTCAGTGTCACAGCCAGCCCCAAACAACAGTTTTTCCCTTGCTAGTCCCCAGACAGCAGCATAAGAGGATGCCGGGCTATTTATTGATCCCATTGTCTACTGGATTTAAGACCACTCTTTCAGAGGAGCGTGATGTTTCCCTGTGTGCAAGGGGAGCTCCTTTAGCTGCAGTTTGTGTTCATGTCTCTTCCCTGTGTGTCCCGTTCCCTCTGCTCCGTAACCCTGAGCCGGCCACAGGCTGCAGCCCGACCCGCCAGTTTGCCCCCTTTCTCCAGCCGAAGCACCCGCTCCCTCAGCCCTGCTCGCCCCGTCCCTCTCCGCTGTCCCCGGGAGGCGGCCGGGGATGCCGAGGGGTCCCCGGGGTGGGGAGTCCCGTTCCCCGCCCGCCGGGCGCTCCCGGGCGGGGCCGCAGCGCTATAGGGGCCGCAGCTCTATAAGGGCCGGCGGCGGCGGCGGGGTCGGGAGCGCGATGGGGCTCGGGAGTGGCGGCGCGGAGCTGCTCTTCCCCCCGCTCCTCCTCTTCTTCCTTCTCCTGCTCCTCTGCCTCGTCCTGCTGCTGCTGGGCTGCTCCCGGCCGCTGGTGCTGCGGCGCGGCCGCGGCCAGGTGGGCTACCTGCCGGGCTACCTGCCGGGCTACCTGCCGGGCTACCAGGCGACCCCCAGTCAGAGCCCCTGTCCCGGCCCCCGCCGCCCCCCCGGGGCCCTCCCGCCGCCGTTCCCGAACGGCTGGTACCGCCTGCTCGACTCGGCGCAGCTGCCCCGCGGCGCCGTGCGCGGGCTCGCCCTGCTCGGTGAGTGCCAGCCCCGCATCCCCTCCCGGGCACCCCCGCCCGGCACTGCCAGAGCACCGGGCATCCCACCCGGGCAGCCCTGCTGGGGAACCGACCCCAGGGGTACGGCCGGGGCACTGGACCATCCGTGCTCTGGCACTTCTGGCAGGGCATTGAGGCATCCAGGCCGGCGTGGGTGCCTCTGGTGCTGGAGGGAGTCCAGAGAAGGGCAACGAGGCTGGGGAAGGGATTGGAGCACAAGTGCTGTGAGGAGAGGCTGAGGGAGCTGAGGAGGCTCAGCCTGGAGAAGAGGAGGCTCAGGGGAGACCTTCTCACTCTCTGCAACTCCCTGCCAGGAGGGGGGAGCCGGGTGGGGGTCGGTCTCTGCTCCCAGGAACCAGCAGTAGGACAAGAGGGCACAGCCTTGAGCTGCACCAGGGGAGGTTTAGGTTGGACATTGGGAAGAAGTTCTTACAGAGAAAGGGATCAGACATTGAAATGGGCTGCCCAGGGAGGTGGTGGAGTCCCTGTCCCTGGGGGTGTTTAAGAAAAGACTGGATGTGTCATTTAGCAGACAAGGTGGTGTTGGGTGAAAGGTTGGACTTAATGATCTCAGAGGTCTTTTCCAACCTAGTTAATTCTGTGATTCTGTGATTTGCACTGGCACATACCAGCCAGAATCCCCATCAGGGCACCAGGACATCTTGCTGGGACATCAGGGCATGTCCTGGGGCATCCCTGCCTGGACATCCTGCGGGGGCAAACAGGGACATCCCTGTTCAGGCATCCCCAGTGAGGCACTGGGATGTCTGCACATGGATATCCTCACCAGGGCACTGGGGCAGCCCAGTGTGGGCACTGGGCATCCCAGCCAGCACCTGTGGTGGGCACTGCACTGTCATTGCTGCCCCTGCAGGGCATCTGGGGCATCCCTGCCTGGGGGCTCTGCTGTGGCACTGGCACAACTCTGCCACCATCCCTTTCAAGTCAGAGCGGCTGCCCCATCCCTGGAAGTGTTTGAGGCTGGGTTGGACAGGGCTTGGAGCAACCTGGTTTAGTGGAAGGTGTCCCTGCCCATGGCACGGGGGTTGGAATGAGATGGTCTTTGGGGTCCCTTCCAACCCAAACCATTTGTCACAGCAGCCCAGCTGTGCCCATAGAGGGGCACCAAGGGTATCACAGCCTGGGGTCCTGCATGGGCATTGGGATCCCTGCTGGAGCACTGGGACATCATGGCAGTGTGGGGGCACCCCTGTGTGGGTGCCCTGGGACACAGGGGCATCTCTCTGCCTGGGCTCTCCTCACAAGCATCACTGCCTGCAGTTCCCTGGGGAGATTGGGATGGGATTTCAAAGCCATATCCAGAGGAGTGCTGTGCTCCTCCAGGATCCTTTTGCTTAGAAGATGGGTTTGGACCAGCAGAAGGGATGTTTCTGCATTGAAATCTCTCAGATTCAGTGGAAAAGGTTTCAAGAGCCATCCCCTCCTGTGAAGTTGCTGGGGTTTGGTGTTTGGGGTTTTTTGGGTTTTTTGTTTGGTTGGTTTTGCTTTGCTTTTAAAACAGGATCTATGTAATTCAATATACATTGAATTCTATCCTAGAGAGCCCCTCCAGCCTATCTGTTATAGTTCTCTTGGTTGTCTGCCCATAGCCTGGCTCCTGGCACCCAGTCCTCTGGGTCTGGCTGAAATGTGCAGGTGGAATCACTTCTAGTGGCAGTGACAGCAGGGTACCAGTGCCAGGAAGATTATCAGTAGGTAAGACAGTTAAACAACCTGTAGCCTTTGGGGTTGTGTGTGTCTTATTTATTTTGGAGCCTCTGATCAAAAAGCCTGGAAATGCAGTCCCACTTCAGAGGCAGTGAGTCAGAGGAGATGAAAGAACAACAATCACCTGACTCAGTCTTTGCAGACTCATCCTTTGGGATAAGACACCTTCCAAAAGCTGGCACTGAGCATGCAGGAAAGTCTCACTCTCTCCTGGGGTTGTGGAAGCGGGGTGAGAGCTGCTTCAGAGTCCTCTGAGATGCTCTGTCCCAGACTCTGCATTCCCAGTAAATGCCCAGAACTGTCCAGTGGTCCTGGGGCTCTCTAAGTCCCCTGTGCTATTCTTACTGCAATTGCTATTTGATTTTCCTAAAAGAAATAGGCTAATTAAGTGGGACAATTAAAATTAAAAAGAGAAAAAGTATTTGGCTGTTAGTGCTCTGATATTCACCTGCAACAGTTTTTCAGTGTATCTTGGGCCAGAAAACTGTCCTCCCAATTTGGAGAGGCATTGGATTTGACACACAAGGCAGAGCAAAGACCAGCCTCTCCTCTGGCTCTGCTGGCTCCAGAGTGCAAAGGTTGGAAGCAAAAGCAGCACTCAGAAGTCCTGGGTGAGTTCTTGGACAGCCCAGCAAAGGTCTGGCCATGGGCACTGATTCAGGTCTTCAAGGCAGGAGACCTCCAAACTGCCTGTACAAAGGGAACCTCTAGAGATTGGACCTTCTTAGGGTAAAACCATCTTAAAAGTTTGCTGGGCAAAGCCTCAGGCTGCAGAGCTGCTGCTGGGGGCACGTGGCTGGGACACCCAGGGCCCCAAGTGCTCTGGCTGTGGGACTCTGGTCTGACCCATCCAAAGCTGTTCCTCTGTGTTTCCACTCTGCTGTTGCTCCTGCTGAACCCTTGACATCTCCAGCAGTCAGAAACACTTCCCTGCCTTCCCTCTTTTGCCCTGAACCTCAGGTCAGGTAGAAAGGTGGGTTAGAGATAGAAGAAAACGCTGATGCTTCAGAATGAATCCCTGTTACCTGGGGCAGGGGAAGGTGCACTGTTGGTGCCTCCACTCCAGTGGAGTGCCAGTAGATGTGTGAGAGCCTTCCAGAAAGACTCTGGGGACAACAGGGCCAGTGTCCTGGGAAAGAAGGGATCTGCAGGCACTGGGGTACAATGACTCATATCTGCCAGATATCAAAAATAATCCTTCCTAGGCTTGAAGGCTGGGAAAGTTTCCAGCATTTCCTTTTCTTTGCCCAAATAACAAAACTTCAGTCAAGGAAAGTGATTTTGGGAGGGATAGCTCACACTGTGTCACCTGTCATCAGGGTGGCTGCCTGGGAAAACATGGACTGCACTCAGCTCCCAAAGTCGAGCTTGGACTTCTTTGAGCTCCAAGTGACAGCAGCCACTGTAACGACCAGAGTTCACAAGCTGATGAACTCTGAATACAAAATACGTGCTGCATCACCCGAGGCACAGCATGGAAGGAGAGGACCTGGCCTTCCCCTCAGTGGTCACATCTGTATGAACAGCCCCCCAAGGCTTCTGAGCTCCCAGCCCAGCTGTGCCCCCTTCCAACCAGGTGACTTGAGGGGACACTTTGTTTTCAGGGTGGGTCACCAAGGCACAGCCCCTCTCCCCTGTGCTGCTTCCAGGGATGTGGGCACTGGCAGGTCTGTGCTGGGCCAGGAAAGCATCTGGCCCCAGTTCAGTCCCTCAGGAGCACATTGGTTCAGATGATGCCGTGGCAGCCATCCAGCTGTGGTTGGAGCACAGCTGGGTGAGGCAGAGCCATGAACAGTCTGATGGCTGCAGCCCAGGTGCTGCCTGTCTCTGCTTTACTGGGCCCTTGCTCAGTTAACATGGTGCTACCCTGGGGCTGTGGAGGAAGAGGGCAATCCCAGAACTGAGCTGGAACAGACCAGTGGGGCAAACCTCACATTGCTCCGGGAAGCACAAGGAATGAGGCCCACAATGGAGACGAGTCTGAGTGCTGGGGCAATGCAGTCCCAGCCACTGCAGCACTGACTCTCCACTCCCTGTGTGGAGCCGACCAGAGCCGGGGGCTTCCCTTCCCTTCACCAGAAAACTCCCTTTTGCCGAGGAGGTGTCAGTGCTCTGGCTCTCAGCACGCAGCTGTCCCTGCTCGAGGCAGGGATTTGCCGCTGAGCTACAGTGTGGATGGCCCTCGGGGTTCAAGAGCAAAGAGATAAAGGGCTTCTTCCAGCTCCCGTTAGCAGAGATTCTCGAGATGTATGAGCCTGTGGGCTCTCCTCTGCCCCTCCTGGGTGAAGTTGTTCTTCTCTGTGTCTCTCTCCCTTAGCAGGGGAAGCATCTTAAATCTTCAAACATTTTTGTGAAGGCACCTTTCATCTTGTGACCAAAACAGGATCCAGGACAGGGTTTAGAAGTCCATGGCCACCACACTCCGGGCATCTGCTTGAGTAGCTGCCAGCCCAGTTCTGCCTGGCCTTTTCTGCAGCCAGTAAACACCTGACCGCAGCCCGGCAGGGGAGTGCTGCCCACTGTCCCTCTCCCCCGCGCTCCCTCCCGCCCGCAGCCCGTGCCGCCGCCCCTGCCCGCCTCTGGCAGCTACCTGGTGCCATCTCGTGGTTAAATCCCTTCTCCGGAGCATCCCTGTTTCTGTCCTGCCACGACTAGAAAGAAGAGAAGCCCGCGGGCATGAATTTTCCGCGGGGTTTTTCTCACTCCTCTGACCCCGGGTGAAGTCACCGCTCGGTGCCCCCGTTCCCAAGGGGCCGAGCAATGAGTGTCTTGCCCGACCCCCCTCCCCTGGCGCTGCTGTTTTTACACCTCCACCATCTCCTGTTCCGGCAGGGAAACATCTCGCCGTGTTTCGCTCCCAGGATGGCCAAGCCCACGTGCTGGACGCCCACTGCCCTCACCTCGGGGCCAACCTCGCTGCCGGGGGACGGGTCCGGGGCGGCTGCATCGAGTGCCCCTTCCACGGCTGGCAGTTCCGAGGAGAGGATGGAAAATGCACCAGAATCCCGTATGCTGGAAAAGGTGAACGTGCCCCAAATCCATGGAGAGCAGCCACAGAAAGGATAGTGCCCCACGTCCCCATTAAAAGCCACTCCATTAGGGGAAAGTTGTCTTTATAATAATTCACCCTCCATCCACTCCCCTGTTTCATGCAGCACCCTGGTTTTCCTCTGGGTTGCCCATGTCCCAGTGTTCCACAGGAACAGAAACACAGGGTTCCAGTGCCCTTCCCTATGTTAGATGGTAACTGGGACTTCAGTTAAATAATGCCCTTCTTGGTTCTGACAGTCCCACACCTCCTGCATTCCATAGGCAGGGTATAAAAGCAGATTTTTAACTCTGAGCCTTCCATTGGGTCCCTCAGGGATGGACCCTGAGGAGCTGTTGGGTTCCAGAAATGATTCTGTGCTTTACAGTGACAGCTTATGCCACATCAGTGCTGAAATGCATCCCATGAACATGACAGAATAGTTTCTCAATGGGAATATTTTTCTCCTTTTAGGGCTTGAAAGGAACTTTTGGTTGGGATTACGGAAAGCTCTTCACACCCACCCACCATGTAGACATGGTTTGCGTTGACTGTGTAGGAAGAACGTCTTAAAGTTCACGTGGAGCAATTATTTGATCTGGCTCCACTAATGAATTTAAATCACCAGTTGCTTACCTTGAGTTTTGTTTGGCTTGTGCTTCTTAGTTATTGTCCTGAGAAGTTCAACTTCATTGGATTTGGATCGATTAGGATAGTGACGAAACATTGATTGGCAGCAAAAGTCACTCTTTCTACTAAACAAACTATTTCTCCCAAAGTGAAAGAAACATTCCATCTATATGGGCAAGAGAACCAATTTATAGATCTCTTCAAACAGCAATTTCCTTTTCTGTGTGTGTTATTTTCAGAAAAAAGATTAACACTGTATTTTTTTCCCCACACATAATCAGGAGCTGCATTCAAATGAAAATTTGGTTCCATGCACTGAGCAATGATGTGTTTCACCACAAAATGAGGGAGAATATTCTGGACATATGCAAACACTCACACCAAGATGTGTCATTTCATCTGAAATGGATGAATTCTGAGTCATTATTATTTGGAGGTATTAAAAGAATAAAACTGCAGCCAGCTGCCCTGCTCCCCTCCAGCCCAAATGGGTCAGGGTGATTTAAACACATTTAAAAGCCATCTGTGCTCACACAGGTACTTTGTTGGAGCAGGATTTTGGAGAGCTCAGATGGGCAGCTCCTCCAGCCCTGGGCTCAGAGGGACCCACAGCCAGACAGAGCCCCAGAACCCAGTGTGGGGCTGGAGGAAGAGGGGGAAGGGTTTGGAGCACATGCAATGGCTGAGGGAGCTGGGGGGGGCACAGCCTGGAGAAAAGGAGGCTCAGGGGGGACCTTAACTCTCAACAGCTCCCTGACAGGAGGGGGGAGCTGGGGACGGGGGCGGGCTCTGTTCCCAGGGAACAAGAGACAGGGCAAGAGGAAATGGTCTCAAGCTGTGCCAGATGAGGTTTAGATCTGATATTAGGGAAAATTCCTTCACTAAAAGGGTGGTCAGGTGTTGGAACAGGCTGCCCAGAACAGTGATGGAGTCACCATTCTGGAAGGATTTAAAAGATGTGTGGATGTGGCACCTGGGGACATGGGTTAGTGCTGGGCTTGGCAATGCTGGGCAATGGTTGGACTTGGGGATATTAAAGGTTTGTTCCAACCTGATTGATTCTGTGATTCCATGTCTGCATGGGGGCAGATGAAGCCCTTTTAGAATTTTAATGAGATGCATCCCACCCGAAGCACCAGGTTTTGTCAATCAGAAATCACAGTGATGGGCTCCTCCTGCCCCCTCTGATATCCATTGATTGAAAGAGAATCATCATTTCTCCCACTATTTCACTTCCCACATGTATAAGGCTGAGTAAGAAGGAACTGCTCTGTGCTCTCCTTGGTGCTTGTTTCCACATTAGAAAAAAAAAAAATAATGAAAGCAACAGCCTTCCAATCCAGTAGAAGCTGCATTTTCTGACAATCAACTATAAATGCCAAAATTAATTTCACTGAAGTGATCTATTCTTAAAGCAACACATGATACTGCAATGTTATAGCAGAGAATGACTTGAACCTGAGAGGCAGCAATGGCTTTTACTCTCTCTGCACATCTAAAACTGAAAGCATCTCCTGTTAGTTCACTGGAACTGGAGGGGGATCCATTCATGCAGCAGCCACTTAATTATTTAACCAAGTTAAAGAGGCAGCTGACCAGCCAGCCAGGTTGTTCCTTTAAAAACTTATGCAAAACACCAAACTGAAATAAAACCAATTAAAACAAACTCCTTTCTGTGACCCTTGTAGCTGCTGTTCTTCTTCAGGGCTGGAAAGCTGGAGCAGTGCCACCACGAGTGTGTGTCACAGGAATATCTCCCCTAGAGTCGAGCTCAGAGCTGTGGTTCAGCACCAGGGTCGGGGTCGGAGCTGTGGCTTTTATCTGGTCCCTTTATGCCCCCGCAGTGCCGGATTTTGCCAGGGTCCGGGTCTGGCCGTCCTGCGAGGTGAACGGGATGGTGCTGGTCTGGTACCACTGCCAAGGGCTCGATCCCACCTGGGCAGTGCCCGAGCAGCGCGAGATCACCTCGGAGGAGTGGGTGTTCCGCGGGCAGACGGAGCACCTGGTGGACGCGCACATCCAGGTAGGGAGCTCGGTCCCTCCCCCCGCGGGGCATGTCCAGGCCTGGGTCCTCTCCTATAGCCCAGTTCAGAGACATCTCCTCCCAGTTAACCAGACCTTGGCAGTGCCATCACTGCTGCTGGCAGAGCTCTGACCTGGAAACACCCCCGTGCGTGCCGAGAACGCAGCATATGTTCCCCAAACACGGAGCGTGAGCTCCTCGAGTGGAGAACAGCTGTTCTGGGTGCTTAAAAAGAATCTGCTAATTTGCTTTGACTTACAACTGGTGTAATTTAAAAAAAGATTCTCTAAGAGCTGCGGCACTTACTGTCAGGAGGCGTCTCAACCCATCGATCACCCCAATGGAAACGCACAGTTATTTTGCTGTTAATCTTCATAATCACCATCATAGGCTGACAAATGGGCCATGGAGAACAAACGGCTGCTGCCTCTCTGTGGAAACGAGTCTGGAAAAGGGGTCCCATTTTGTGGCGCTGGACAGAAGGGACCTGGGAGGGAGAAGGGGCAGTCACAGGTGGGGGCTCCTCCTGGAGAGGGATGGGAGGCAGCAGCACTTCTGAAACTGGGTGATGCCTGGAGGTCCTAGGGAGATTTTTCTGTGCTTGCTGCTGTGCAGAACACCTGTAATTGTAAAAATCAGGGACAAAAATGACCCTTAATCTGGAGCACAGCAAATCCAAAGGCAGCGCCTGCCTGCTGGCTGCATCCCAAGGGAAGAGGGGAGATAGGAAGGAACAGAGAATTACTGGGAGACATAAAAAAGATGCATGAGGCACAGAAGATGCAGCTCTGGGAGTGTGAAGAGGAGCTGGGAGAATCCGGGGGATTGAGGGGATAGTAATATTTATTTTATGTCTTTTCCAGTGCAAACCACTGCACACAGGTCTGTACTGGGGCCAGTCTGTGCTGCTTGCAGAGCTGGTGGGAAGCTGGTGTATTTGAGTCACAAAGCAGCTAAAATGTCTCAAAAAGTGATGTATTTGAGCAGGCTGGTGGGGTTTAAAGCTGTATCAGTATGTGAAAACTAGACAAAAATGCTTTATTCATTACAGTTATCATAGGGCCAAAGGCAGGACTTCTTTGGAGTCCCAACTTGTGCATCTACACAAGTGAGCACATGGAGAGTTCTGTGAGCTCAAAATGAATGCTGTTTCAATTATTCCTAGATGCTTGTTAAGAGCTGGTCCCAGCTCACTCTGCTGAGGCCCCCGGTGGCTCTCTGCCTCAAGACCTGTGAGCACCTCTGCCCTGCCTGCCCTGCTCTGCCCTGCTCAGCTGGGGGCCCAGGGCTGCACCAGGGTCACCCTGGGGCTGTCACAAAGCTGCTGTAAGTGCAGGCAGCTCCCACCTGAGTCAGCTCTTGCCAACAGCAAATTGTTCCCCCATCAGGAAATCCCTGAGAACGCGGCCGACACAGCTCACTTGGCTTTTCTCCACGGCCCAGCCATTCTGGGAGGGTCTGACCTGAGATACACGAGGTCCAGGCTGTGGGACTTCATGAAGCACATGTGGAAGGTAAGACCCCAGCTCCCCTCTTAGCCATGAGGTCAAATTCTTCCAAACCAGGTTCCCTTCCTGCCTCAAAGATCTGTCCCCCCTCACCCTCTCGGCTGCACCTCCTGCTCCAGGCTCTGTGTCTTGGAGGGTTTGAGCTGCGCTCCCTCACCTGTGCTCATCTCCGGATGGTCCTCACAGCTCTTGTCCCCATCCCACACTGCCCCTCTCAGCCTGTGTCCCCCACCCTCGGGCTGAGCCGTCCTTTCCCCTCTCCAGGCAGAGTGGCAGCCAGAGCCCGAGCCCAACGCGCACTGCTCCCGGCTGCTGCTCCAACACTCCGCAACCATCTTTGGGAAGCGCCTCTCCCTCATGGATCTGACGGTTTCAGCCAGGCAGGTACGTCCTGGGCTGGTGACCACCAGCATCTCAAGCTGAAGGGCTTTGTTTCCCCAAAGGCTGCGAGCCCTGCCAGTCCTGCTCAGTGTCACAGAGCCACAGAATGTTCTGACTCGGAAGGGACCCACAAGGATCCCCGAGTCCAACGGAATGGCCCGTAAAGGAATTGAACCCTGCTCTTGTCAGCACCCTGCTCTGACCAACTGAGCTCATCTTGGGGTCACCTTCCCTACCAAGTGTATCCGACACATGGGCCAAAAAGCACCCACTGGCACTGGGGCTGTCCCAGAGAAGAGGAAGGGGTCCTAAGCATTACTGTGCCACAAAACAATTAAAAAGACCACCTGAGCAGACATTGGTGACAATCCTGAGGGACCTTCACACCACATGGTCACAGCTGGTTACAGTGCAGAAGTGGGAAAGGCAAACAATCAGGAACAGTGTGTCTGTAGCCCAAGATCAGCCCTGGGATAATAAAATAGCTGACACAGACTAAGAATTACAGGAAAATAGAAACAATGCTCTGAATCAATTGGAACCACTTTTGTTTCTGGATTTTTTTAATGAAATGTGAAGTTTGCCCGATAAAACATTTCTAACTTTAGTCTAATACATTTTTGAAGGAATTTGACCTATTCCCACATTAGAAATGCAGAACAAGTCATAGAGTCACAGACTGGTTTGGGTTCAAAGGGTACCTTGAAGATCATTTCATTTCAGCCCCCAGCCATGGGCAGGGACACCTTCCACTAGCCCAGGTTGCTCCAAGCTCCATCAAACCTGGCCTTGGACACTCCCAGGGATGGAGCAGCCACAGCTTCTCTGGGCAACCTGTGCCAGGGCCTCACCAACCTCATGGGAAGATTTCTTCCCAATATCTAATCTATCTAATCTAACCCTGCCTGGAGATGATAACAACTGGCAAAGTTGTGACTCAGGGCCCTGAGACCACGACTTTGTGCCTGACTTGATGAAAAGAGTAGCAAGCCCAGCCCAGGAGACATCTCCAGCAGGTCTCAAGGTGTGGGGGTTCCTGCACCCGAGGGCTGGACCACTGGGGGCTGTTCCCTGAGGATGTTCTGTTGCTCTGCAGGTGGGGCCAGGGCTGGTTTACCTGATCTTTGAACACACGTTCCTGGGCCGTGGGATCATCCTGCAGACGGTGACTCCCCTGGAGCCTCTCCTGCAGAGTGTTGTTCACAAAATCTACTACCAGAAGAACATACCAGCCATTGTTCCCAAGTTCATCCTGAGGGCAGAGTGTGTCCAGGTGAGGCCCCTGCAGAAGAGCAGCCAATGGGATTTGGTTCCCTGGAGCTTCGTGCCTGGGAGGTGTGAGAAGGAAGAGCAGCTGCCCACATGGGCTCAGATATCCTGTGGGAGCAAAGCAAAGACCTGGGGAAGGTCCTTGTGGTGCTTGATGTGATCTTTCCTTGTCAGCAGCCCAAAAAAATCAAACTGGAGGTCAAATAAAGGGAGTCCCTGCCGTGGGTCACCTGCTGAGGGTGGCAGAGAGGTGTTATCCCTCTCCTGTGGGTGGGAAGCTGGGACACAAGGATTAGGCTCTTTAGCTGCAGGAAGTCTTTGAGGGAACTAATCACTGCATCCAGGTTTCCAGCATCCCAGGCTGGTGCTTTAACATTATCCTATCACCTTTGGTAAGAACTGTGCCAAGAAATCCTCCTGTTCTTAAATTGTCGTGAAATTTGGCAACTCCTGCTACTCCTGAAAGAGGTTTTCCAGGCTTTTACCACAGGGATTCATGGAAGTGTTGAACTCTGGAGGTCTCCATTTCAATATCCCAGCTGAAACATGGTTATTGCCAAATTCAGGTCAAGCATGGCCTTGAAGGCCACCTCTGTTGGAGAGCAGCCCCATCTCTCCAGCTCCAGATGAAGTTCAGATGACAAAAACCTACCCCAAGTCAAACTTAGCTGTGCTCCCTCATATTCTATAAATACTGCCTTAACATTTTGCATCTTACTAATGTGAATGAGCAACACTCATTTCTGCAGCACCTTCTTCCCAAGGCTTACTCCATGTGTGCCTGAGCAGAGTGTAAGCTGTGGATGCTTTATTTATAAAGCCCTGGCTGGCTGGAGCAACCCAGTGAACTCAAACTCTCAGGTGGAGCAGCGCCTACCTGCACAACCCCATGACAGGGGCAGTCTGAGCTGGAAGTGGCTTTTCTGGGCTAAACTCTGCTGGCTGCAGACAGAGCCGTGGTGTTCCGTGTTCCCACAGCAGTCCCACGAGGGCCAGTGGGGAGAAATGTGAAAAGTAAATCAGTGTCACACAAACCTGCTGGTTCAGCTTCCCCCCCTGAGTGAGACCCTCCTTCTCCCCCCAGTTTGAGCGGGATATAACCATCTGGAACAACAAAGAGTACCTGTCCAAGCCACTCCTGGTGAGGGAGGACTCTGGGATCCAGAGACACCGGCGCTGGTTCTCCCAGTTCTACAGCGAGGGGAGCGCAACGGCCCCCGCACGGGAGGAGGGCCTGGACTGGTGAGGACCTGGCTGCCCCCTCACTGCAGGAGCTGCCAGAGGCTCTCAGGTGGGTCCTGCCCACCCTGGCTGGTGGCAGAGGTGCTATGCAGGCATCACCAGTGTAACAAATACAGGCACTGGCACAGGGAGCAGAGCCTGTGAAGGTCACAGAAGGTGATCCTTCTGTGTCCGGGGCACCAAAGCTCCAAGGCTGTCCTGCAGTGTGAGCTGAGTGTGAACTTCAGGTTAGAATCATGGAATCACAGAAACCTTGGGTTGGAAGTGACCCACAGGACCATCCAGTCCAACCCCTGGCCCTTCACAGACACCTCAACAATCCCACCCTGTCTCTCAGAGCGTTGTCCAAACCCTCCTGGAGCTCTGGCAGCCTTGGGGCTGTGCCCACTGCCCTGGGGAGCCTGGTCAGTGCCAACCACCCTCTGGGGGAAGAACCTTTTCCTGAGATCCAACCTGAGCCTGCCCTGGCACAGCTCCAGCCATTCCCTGGGTCCTGTCACTGCTCACAGAGAGCAGAGATCGGACCTGACCCTGCACTGCCCCAGTGAAGAAGCTGCAAACCCCAGTGAGTCTCCCCTCAGTCTCTTCAGATTGCCAGAGCTGCCCTTGAAGTGTCCTTGTCTCTCACTGCTGCAATAATTTTGAACAGTTCTGTTTTCATCTGGCCTTTTATTGCCCAGAGTGGCCTTTTATTGCCCACAGTGGCCTTTCCTTGCTGATGCTTCTTCAGCATCACCTTGGCTGGGACAGGCTCCAGCTCTCACATGGGCTGCAAAGCTCACAGGAACTGCTCTAGATCCTCCTGTGTTTGGTGCCACATGTGCTGTATTGAAGGGCTAAATTCTGCCTGGCTGCTTTCCCTGGGGAAACTTGTAATGCCCCCAGGTAGAGCTGCTGTGGGTCACCAGCAGGGCTCTGACAGTTTCTCTGTGCCAAGCAGGAGCAAATGCTCAAATCCAGGAGCTTTCCCAGGCTGGTGGCTCCCATTCCCGTGCACTGTGCACCTCCCTGTGCCTTGTGAATTCTGCACTTTACTGGGGCTTCTAATTCCTCCTTCTGCACTATCCCAGAGCAGGACTGGGAGCAGGACCCTGCCAGAGCAGGCCCCTGTCTGTGCAGAGCTCACTGCCCACCCCGGGAGCACCCCGGGTACCCTGTGCCAGCTGTGCCACCACCAGTCACATCTGCCCATTGCACTTCCAATATTTTGCTATTAAATGTCTTTTAAAACTGATCTCATGTTCACAGTTTCTTGTTCTTCACTGTTTGGGGGTGCTCTTGCCAGGAGAAGGAGTCCTGAAGCTGGCCCATGCTCCCCTGCCTCAGGAGCCACAGGGAATCTCCAACAAGGAACTTCACAAGAGAGCAGGAGCTTGGAGAAGGAGCATTTGTCCAACTCAACAGCCTGAGCCTCTCAGGGACCTGAGAGCTCTAATATGTCTTGGTGGCCCTGACCAGCCTCACCTGGGCTGCTTCTTCCACTCCCTGCCCACGGCCCAGGAGCCCATTTCGGCTCAGCTCTGGCCCCTCAGCCCCCGCCCTGAGCGATGCTGTACCTCTGACTGACCTGGACTCTGACCACAGCCTGACTTCCCAGCTGGACCTCCACCCTGTCCCATCCCCACAGAGCTGCCCAGTCACTGCTGGGCTGTGCCAGACCCTGGATACCCTCTCCAGATCCTCAGACCCTGGATACCCTCTCCAGATCCTGGAGATTTGGAGATTGACTTCCCAGCTGGACCTCAGACCTGCCCCATTGCCATGAGCTTGTCCTACGATCTGACTGCACGACCTCTGGGCCTACCAGGGCAGTGAGACCCCCCTCAGCTCCCAGCACCCCATTCCTTAGGGAGCAGCTGCCCTGGCAGTGATGGGCGATGGAGAAACAAGAGGAAACTAAAAGAACTGAGATGTTACATGACATGATGTGGGTCACGATGTTCACCTAAAATTATGGGGGCCCAGGGCCACTCCCCCCCACCCCCGCCACAAACACACACTGGTACAGAGCTCTTGCCACACCTGGGCTGTTGTTCCCTGCTCCTGTCTCTGTTTCCACATACAGGATCTCAGGATGAACAAAACTCCAGGGAAATTGCTGAAGCTCAGATTAGAGCTGGTGAGTTCAACCAGCTTTGTTAGATCCATCAGTCCCTCTGAGATGAGAGGAAACTGGGGGATACCTCCAGCAGAGCATGAATTTGGAGCTACCAGTTCCATTACTGCTAAAGCTAAAGTAGTTGTGTCCTGTTAGCGCAGAAATTAGAGAACTGGGAAACACGGCAGGATTAGCTTAAGCCTCTTACATTCCCATTAGCAATCATTTTTATCCTTTTAAATGGCTCTAGCAAAAAGGACAATTGAGTGCCAGGAGCCACTGGTGTGCCAAGGAGCACCATCCTCCACTCTGCTGGGCATCCTGGTTTTACATTATCCACTTTACGTATGTAGATTTTCAAACAAATCCCAACCCCTGTCTGGCAGGACCTGAGGGCACCTGTTCTGACTGTTTACTAAAATCCCTTTGCAAACCTTCTGCAAAGCCACAGCCATTCTTACCATTATAAACTGATAGTTGTACTTATTATTTTGGCTTATCTTCACACTTGGCCAAGAGCCAAGAGCTTATCCAATGGCCAGACCCATTGTCACTCCATGTCTTTGGGTTTTGTTTTTTCCCAACAAATTCACTACAAATTTCCCAAATCTGTAGCACAGTGGTTTGGTTTTGTTTTGGTTTTTTGCCTGCTTTTTGCAGAGTGGTGGGTGCAAGGTTAAAGAAACCCAGAGGACATCAAAACAGGTCAAAGGAAAAGACACATGAAGGGTGATGGACATTGTACCTTAGGATTTTCCAGTGTTAAGGCCTGACTGCCTCTTTTGAGTCCTGGTGTATGTACTTGTTCCACCTGGGACAATTCCTGGTGGTCTCTGGGTTGTTTGGAGGTGGGTCCTGGAGCTCCAGAGAGCATCAGTGAGTCCCTGCACACAGAACCAGCAGTGCCCCACTCATCAGCACATCTCTGGGACCCCCGGGACATCCTGGTGCAGGCCAAGCCTGTCATGGCCTGAGCCCAGATTTCTGTGCCCATTTTGGCTCCCACTATAAACAGCTGCCAAGGGCCTTGTCCTGGGGAGAAGGGAGGCTGCTCAGTGCCCGCTCAGTGCCCACCCAGTGCCTCTGTTCCCCTGGGGTGAAATCAAGCCCTCAGGTGGATCTGCTGGTACAGGTTTCACCTCTGGCCCTGCGAGTCCAGGCTGCCCAGCACCGGCTGGAACAGCTCCAGCAGAGGAAATCCAGCTGAGCTGACCCTGCCTGGTGGTGTGAACACCAACACCTGGGTGCAACCCCAAACCACCCAGCTGCCCTTGGGGTTTAGGGCCCTTCCTGCTACAAACAAACCTCTCGTCGGTGAGGGAGGAGCAGCTCATGGTGCTGGGAACTGAAGGGATGCTCCAGGAAGTGCTTTGGGGAGTGCTGGGTGCCTCAGGCACGTGGTGCCCAGTGTGGAGTTCTCTGGATGCCAAGTTCATATGGCTTCCCACTGCCAGAGGGCAGGGCTAGATGGGATACTGGGGAGAAATTCCTCCCTGTGAGGGTGGGGAGGCCCTGGCACAGGTTGCCCAGGGAAGCTGTGGCTGTCCCATCCCTGGAAGTGTCCAAGGCCAGGTTGGACGGGGCTTGGAGCCACCTGGTCTAGTGGAAGGTGTCCCTGCCCATGGCAAGGGATGTGGAATGAAATGATCTTTCAGGTCCCTTCCCACCTAAACCATTCCACGATTCCATGAGATCCACCAGAGACCACTGCTGGGATCCAGGTCACTTCCATGGATGTTCTCCCTCCTCACAGCAGGACATCAGCCCTGGGGAATGTCCCAGTCACGTGCTTGAAAAATAGAAAAGCTCAGACACTTCTTTTTCCTAAAGGTTGTTTTATTGTAAAACCATAAATACAACACTGACATGAAAATCCTCAAGCAACGGATGCTTTCTTACAGTTACAGTTTGTCTTCTGCCTTGGCATCAACTCTGAAAAGAATGTTGCAGAAACATGTCTCTAAGGTATTTCCAAATAACCGAGCTCTGGCCTGGAGCGCTCGGCCCCTTTGGAAGCTAAGTGGAACTATTCCTTCTCTCCTGTGGAATATTTCCATTCAGACAGCAACAGACTTGTAAAAACAGCAACATTTAAACACCTTGATTTTTTTTCTATAATAATCCTTTTCATTTGACGTCAGTCTAAGTTTCAAACAGCACTGAATTCATTTAGCTGTAAAAAAAAAACCAAAAAACCAAACCAAAACCAAAACAAAATCCTAAAAAGAAAAAAAACAACCTCAGAACTTGAGTTGGCCTCAAGCGTTCGTATATCACAATGAAAATCAGCAACTCAACCCCGTGCAATATTGCTCTCTAGTGAGTCATTTGATCCACACCAACAATACATGAGACTTCAAACAGGTTTTGTTTTGTTTATTAACACAGCAAGTGTGACATTAGATAACCTTTTAAATACAGTACATGGTACAGCGCGGGGCCAGCTGCCCGCACGTTTCCCGTTATGAAGACAAAGCCAGCGGTGGCGGTTTATAAAAATATTGTGTTGCTACAAAAGTATAAATTAATGCTACCGGTATTAAGAAATATTAAACACATAAAACTTATAAGGATTAAGAAAAATATTCATTAATACCTGTAGAAAACTCTGGCCTAAAAAAGATATTTTTTTGTATATTTTTTGTATATTTTTTTTGTATTTTTTAAGATGACATGAGTGCGCTCGCGGGCGGGGCCGCAGGCGCGTCTGTGGTATTGCCTAGAACATCTGCATCTACAGAAAGGAGGGAAATGCACACGAGTTACTGAGGGAGGGAGGGCGAGAGGGACAGGAGAAGTTAATCTTTGCTTGATGAAACAACAAGAATTGAGCCCCTCCAGAGGAGGTTTGGGAAAACGGACGTACGGGCGAGGAACAGCTTCTCCTTTCAGACTGGCTGCAAACAGGGATCTCCCACGGTTGGGTTTGTCACCATGACACTGTCTGGCTACGGCGTGGACCACGATCATCACGGCCTGGGTGGTGTGTGCTACTCCTGGACCTGTCACCTGCCACCAAGGGTTCAGTTCATCCACTACCAGTTTTCCTTTTAAAGAATTAAAGAAAATAATGTTAAAGTCCCACTAAGTTTCAAGGGACCATGGAAAACAGACTGTTGCTCCTTCCAGAATACATGCCTCCTTCCTTGAGTGGAAAGATCCTTCTCCATAGACAGCAAGGGGAAAATATTCCCTCCTCCCAAGCCACAGCCCCCTGGAAAAAAGAATCCCACCCTATGCACAGACACTGCAGAGACCACCACCAGAACCCCCAAGAGATGGGAACAAGGATTCAAGGCTGACGAGGCTGGCAGTGTCTTTTTAAGGAACTTTGGTTGTAAAAGCAAGGGCTGGACATGCCTGTGGTCATCAACTCCACCCTAAAATATACCCATCGTTAAGGCTGCACTGCTCACCTGGGTCCCACTGTCAGTGATCCCACAGCAACGGGAGAAGAAAATCCTGCCAGTCAAATCCTGCCAGTCACTGGCTGATCTTGTGCATCAATGAACCGTTTAGAGCCTCATTTTAGAAGATACTCTAAAAAATTCCAACTCAGCTGCCTACGGATCAGGAAACCCCGAGGGTCTATGGATAAACCATTGTATATGCGAGCAAAACTCCCTCAAGTTATAAACAAAGGACTCTGTAACAGCAGGAGTAAAAACACAACTAACCAGTCAAACTAGAACTGAAATGAACCGGAAATCACACAAACATTCAGTAGATAAAATTAAATTTCAGGGCAACCCACTGTCATTGGTTCACCATTTCTGGCCTAGCGTAGGCAGACTCTCCCCCAGGCCTGAGGGCTGTTCCAGCAGAGCTGGGCTGGGCTTTACTGTTTGCTCAGTGACACTTCAGAAGCCCCAGGAAGATGGTGACCTGTGGCACGGGGACAGGTCCCACACACCGGGAACAGGGAGATCTTATTGCTACAGAGTGACAGCTTCAGAGATACCTGATATGGGACACTGGGGCTCAGCCAATGGTTCTGGGCGTTCTCAATGGATCCCACAGATTCCAGACCATTGTGTAGCACAGAAAATGCACAGCAGAAGCAGCAAAACGTTGAACACTATCCCCCAGCCTGATTCTCCACCTCGGCAGTGCAAGGGCTCCTCAACTGGTGTTTTTTCCTCAGCCAACTCCCTCCTTGTTGGAACCTGGCTGATGGATATACTGCAGTGCTGGGAAGGGTTTGGTGCTGCTGAGAAATGGGAGAATGGGGAGGAAGATGCTCTGTGAACCCTCCTGGATCTTCTGGGCAGGACTGGCTTTTCCCGCCCCTACATCCAGTCCCTTTTCTCTCAGCAAGGTCCAGAGCAGCCTCGTGCCCCACGGAGTGAACTCCAGGAGCTGTGCAGCCTTGCTTTCAATGACAAAGCTCAAAAAGCATTCCCCTAGGAAACTCCTCCCAGGTGAATAGATTTCTTCTCCCTGAAGAGGCTTCCAAGAATCTGTCTTTAGTGTCTTTTTATTTTTATCCCTTTATTCCTAACTACTCCATAGGGTGTAACTAGTCCTTTCCTCTGGGAATGCTCACAGGAGCTCCTTGCCTCTCCCTCAGCCAGAGAGGTGCCATGAGAGAGCCAAGCCTTTCCTTAGCACAGAGCAGCACTCCCAGCCCTGCTCTTTTAGTGTTGTTTGATTCATCAGCAACTTGGTGCTCCTAGTTGCAGGATGTCTCAGTCCCTGCTCCATCATGGGCTGCTGCAGGGTCTAGAGTGGAACTGGCCCCTCAGACTGGGTGAAGCAACCCACCAGGATCATCGAGTCAAACTCTTAAATGAATGTTCTGTATGGGGATCAAACCTGTGACCTTGGCATTATTAGCACCAGCTGAGCTCACCTCTAGAGCTCAAGCCATTTCCAGAAGTATCTCCCTGCTGTTTTCAGTCATTCCCAAGCTTTGAGAGTATCTGCTGCAAATTCATTTGCAAAATTCACATAAAGGTCATGACTCCCTGAGCTGCTGCTGGACGTGTTCTCTGCCCAGCAAGCGCAGATTAACCAGTGCAGGTGGTTTGTGTGGATGCTCAAACCAGTTTAGCTCAAGATTAAACTGGTTTAAACAGCAATGAATGAACAACTGAATTAGACAAAACCTGAGCCCACCGTTGGCTTTCACAGGAAGTTTTCCAGATTCACTAGTTTAAATACACCCAAAGCAGTTTCCTCAGCACAGACAGAGAGACTAGACAGAAAAGAAAGTTCACTTCCACCTGAACCTGACCCGGGTGCAAGACACCAAGCCTATCCTGCAGGTCAGACCACAACTACTGCCTGCTCCTGGAGACATGGGGAGGGGACAGATCAGGAAACAAACCTGGGCTCCACAGCCCTCTGGCTGCTGCACTCACACAGAAACAACCTCCTGAAGAGCTCTGCCTCTACATCCCACTCTCTGTTTTCTAGTAACAAGGATCTTCAGACAGGACTGGAAGGCCCTTCACTCTGACAGTTCACCTGTTGGTGCTTGTCCCCCAGCCTGAAGGTCAGAACCAACTGGGAAGTCAGAAAGAGAAGTCTGTAAGGTCAGGCCCAGAGTCAGCAGCAGGAACAAGTGACTGCCTGGATGCCCCCCCATTTCTGTATCCCAACACATTTCTCTAGTGTGAGTGAAGGAAACCAAGAAGCAGAAGGCAAAATCCCAACATGACCTACCAGAGGATGATCCCAATTTTGGGGACTTCTCCAGCTCAAAGGGGGCAGAACCTCATGACAGCTCTCTCCTCTGCAGCCTCCCAGCCCAGGATGGGAAGTGCTCCCTACAGCATGTGCTGCTCCACACCCTGAGGCATCACAGAGCAGGAACAGAGCAGTTTGAGTTGGAGCAACCTGGCAAAGAAGAGCTTCCAGAACTCAGACCTTGGTAAAGTATTTTTGCTCCCTAGAATGTGAATCCAAGCCTTGAAGATGGAAGGAGGAACAGAAGCAAAAGCTTGGTATTTAGGGTAAATACCTGTGCTACAGATGTATTTCTCTGCTTTTAATTAAGTCTAGTACCAGACAGAAGGGAGCCTGGGAGCAGACACAGCATGAACAGCTCCTCTGAGCTGAACACCCAGTAACCACGCTGAGGAGTCATGAAAAGCTACAGCTTCTTAGTCTGAGTTTTGGAGGAGATTGCTCCAATTCAGGTCTTAGGTCTCATCTTGCTTTTTCAGCTAAGTTGAGATTTTTAGTCTTTGGGAGAATGGCATCTACCCGACATCACGGCATGTTTGCTTAACATCCATCATCAGTGCAAACAGCCCAAGTTGCCTTGGAGAGGACAGTTATTGGGATGGGGGAGAGGGCCAGTCCATCCCTCTCTTTGGTCAGCACAGCAAGAAAACTCCAGACCTGGTGCCAAAACCACAGTGTGAGGAGGGAAAGGAGAGATGGCTGGGAGGTCAGGGTGGCTGTGCAGCCATGGTCCTGCTCCATGTGCTGGGCACAGAGGACTGCAATTTACCCAATTCCCAACGCCAGGGCTTTACACCCATGCTAACTCTGCCTTGCCTGCTTCCTACCCTCAAGGCCTCACAGATAGAGAGTACAATGAGCCCCAGCTGGCAAATCCCACTGAAGTCATCCATCTGTCCCTTGCAAAGGAGTGTTGGGGGCTGGAACTGCCTTTCCAAAGGAATATAAGGACTTTGCACATTCCCCTGAGCATCAAAGAGCCTGGGAGCTCTCAGGGTCTCTGATGAACCACACAAAAAGGTGTAACATGCCATTAGGAGAAATAACTACAAATCCTGGTCCTTGTGCCACCAGATGAGCTGTGTGGTACACACTCTGTGCCTCCAAAGCTAATTCTGCTTTGGAATCATCCTCTAGACTAGTTTTCATGCTGTCAGGTACCTGTGGGCCCAGCAGCTCACACAGCTCACTGTCAGTGGCACGAATCTCACTCGGGGCTTCTGTTTGACACTTCATTTTTGTCTCAAACAGGCTTCTCCTGCCACGCAAGTCCCAAGAGCTGTGTCACCACGGGCCCAGCTGGTGGCTGGGCAGGCAGGAGTTGCAGAGAAGAAAAGAAAACCAGCAAGAAGAAAAGGTGGCCCTATAACCAACACCTCCATTAGCCACTGCCAGGGAAATCAGATGCCCAAGTGCCTTTGCCTTGGCAGGTCCTCTTCACATGCAGCTGGCAGTGGGGTGGCAGGCTGTGTGATGTCCACAGGCAAGACTTAACATTTAGGAGACACCTGGTTTTGCCCTGATGCCAGTAACAGTGCCAAGAGGTCAACCCAGACTCAAGCCAATGGAAGACAGCTGGGTGCCAAGAGCTATCCTCAGTGACCCTGGGCTGGGAAAGATTCCAGCACCCGAACTGTGTCCCTGAGTCCCGTGCCAGTGCAGGTGTCAGTGCCTGAGAGGCTCAGGGCATCTGCACACAAAGCCTGAGAGATTTGGTTTGCTATTTCTCATGTCTCGGAACGTGCAACTTCTCTTAGAGCCAGAGATGGGCAGGTGGGATCTAGGTTTAATATCTGGTCAACAGCAGCACATCAAAGAGGCCCCCCAATCTTCCCCCCTGCATTGTCAGCCACCAGCAAACACCTCGTGCTGCTGAGGGGCTCCAGCTGAGCCAGTCCCTCCTCCTGACCCTCCCGTGCACTGGGACTGCAGCTCCTGAAAGCAGGAGAGACTACTGAAAAAATCACAATTGGCTTCCATTCTCCTCCAGGATATCAGTCCCAGTGGTGAAAAACAGTTTGGCACCAGAGGCTGGGAATTGTCCAAGAGGCACCAAACCTGACAGAGATGCAGGAGCTGTGCCTGTGGGCAGGAAACACCACAGAGCACTGGCCCTGGGGGACAGCAGAGTGACTGAGATGGCTCTGGGTTATGATCATCTCCAATTGCATTTGGGCTGAGCCAGGACGTGGGAATGTTTCAGGGCCCGTGGCCTTCCCAGCTAGAACGAGTCAGCAACAGAACAAGTAGTGTAATGCACTGTAGGTATCAAAAAGACATTCGTGCCACTAGAGGAAACCATTCCAAATAAAAATGGGAAGATATTCTTTGCACTCAATCAGGAGCACTTACATTCAGAAGGATCTTTGAGCCCATGCACTTCTCTAAGCTTCCTTCAAACCCCAGTTTGACAAAACTGATGAGCTTTGTTCCCCTGAAAAATCATACACCTTGGTTTGTCCTTGGCATTGGGAAGGTTGGTTTGTGTGTAACTGAGACACTTTTAAACAAAAAAGTTCAGGTAGAATGGTTCTCTGGCAGACCTGACAAGCCACTTACTTTTCCTGGTTTCTAGGCTTTTCTATATAAACAACTGCTGTGGTTCCCATAAGGATACTATTTAATTGCAAATGGGCTACTCTAGAACAAGTCTGAGAATGCCTGATGCACAAAATTCACAGAAAAGCTAATTAACACCGGGAATTCAGAAAAGAAGTTCCACTGTAGAAAAATAAAGCCAAGAAACTTTACAATTACAGACATTTTCTGCCATAAACCATTTCTCTTAGTTTGAAATCAAACTTATAATCACTAGCTACCACATTAAACTCAAAACTGGGAGTGGAGGCAGAAGAGTAACTTTCGGTTTTTTGGAAAAAAGCATATATGGAAAGGATAAAAATAAAATTAAACCCCAAAAACCTTCAAGTCTCCCTTCCCTGATTTCTAAAGGTCCCAGTGTTTGGTAGAACACAGCTGCCCTGATACGTGCACCAGGTGCCAGGAAGGCCTCAGCCAAGTGCCCTCAAGGTGTACAGTTATTCAAAGGAGCAAAGTCCAGTGCAGAACTGGTCTGTTCAATGGAGTCTGATTATCCATGGCAAGATGGCCCAGGGGACAAGAGGAAAGGTGGGGTGGAGGAGAAACAAAAGAAACTTCAAGTCACTTTAGATCTCAGCTGCCTGAAGACTTTAGAACATCAGCCTCCCATTCGTCTGCCCACTTGAAAACATTAGAAAGTCTGTCAAGTCCACACACTATCTATGGAAAGGAGCACGTTCCTGGCAGAGGGCTGTCTCTCTCCCATGCTCACCTTTCCTTTCAAACTTAATTTTATAGATATATATATTTTTATATATATATAAAAAAGCACTTGGTTTCCAGGGGCATTCATAATGAGGTCCACAGTGTTTAGAACTTAAAATTCTTTTTCTTTGTTTGGAACAGTGTTTTAGAGTTTTGTTTTAATTAATAGACAGTCTTAAAGCATGTTGGACTTCAAAAACATGAGTTTGTTCATGTCTTCTGGACTGAGTAGCCGTCTCCTTTTGATCAAGAGAGCCTGCTCACACATATTTACACATTCGCTCCTGGCACCCACAGCAGGCACTGCTAAGAGCCAAAAGGCCAGCTTGGCTAGTTTTGTATGCTTTTGGGTAACACACGACCAGTACTGAAACAGGTCAGGGGTGGCCTGGAAGAGAGGTTCTTGCAAATAATCATAGACTTCATTTTTCCCGAACCAATCTTCTTCCTGAGCTGCTGTGGCTTCCCCTGCTACACGAGGCTTCTTGGTTGAAGGTTCAAATTCTGTTTCTTCTGCCCAGGACTCTTTCACCTCATTGATCAACTCACAGACCTTGCCAATGATCTCTTCGTGCTGGTACGGGGGGACGGGCCGCAGCTTCTGCTGAGGGTCTAAGATCATGGCTACCTTGTGTGCCGAATGAACTTTGAAGTTCTCCTTCAGCGCCTCCAAGAAGAGGTGGCAGAGTTTGCTGACCACGCCAGCATCGTTAGCTTTGGAAGTGAACAGTTTCTCCAGTTTGACGTAGGTGGGCAGGACCAGCTGCAGGGTGGGCCGGCTCTCGTTGCTCAGCTCAATCACGGCCTGTTTCACCGGAGCCAGGATGGCTGCCAGGTTGCTGAGCAGGTGCTTGTTCAGGTTTTGGATGAGGTTCATCTTCTTGGCCCTGCTGTAGAACTCGCAGATCTGCTCGTAGCGCTCGTGGACGAGCAGGAGGGAGTCGGTGACCGAGTTCCAGCAGGGCGGGGGGGAGGTCTCTTCCAAGGAGCCAAAGGTCTCCTTCGAGAGGCCTGTGGATCCCGCCAGATCTTCACAGACATTCAGGAGCTCGATCACCTCGTGCATATTGCGAGCCTGTAGTGTTCTCTTGTTGAGCACACTCTGTACCACCGAGTTCAAGGCACAGGCCGAGCAGCGCAGGCACATGCCTGCCTTGGAGAACGCCGAGGAGTTGACTTTGCAGTCTGTGACATACACCGTCCTGATCTCCGACATGACAAACTCCGACAGCACATTCTGCACCCAGTGGTGGATAAAATCACCATTGTCTCGAATGTCTACACCCTTAATTCCCAGGACGTAACTCTTGATGTGGTTGCCCTCCACCTGGTAGGCGGTCAGGATGTAGCAGGAGTCGGGGCCGACGCTCTGCGAGTGGCAGGTGACCCCGATGCCCAGGCAGGCGTTGCTGCCCAGGGCGCAGGTGACCTTCACCTTCACCTGGTTGTACATCCGAGGCAAATGCTTCAGAGCCAGTGTGTTGAAATTGCCCAGGATCTCGGTGACAGAGAAGGCACCATAGCGAGCCCCACTGTCCACCAGGGTCTGTGCCAGCTTGATGAACTCCTTCCCGCTCACCACGCTCAGCACCCCAAGGTCAGTGCACATCACCCGCAGCAGCCTCTCGGCGATGTTCTGCCGCTCCTTCTCCGGGATCGCGCTGTTCCCCATGGAGCCGCTCGCGGACGCTGCAGGGAAACACAAGCGAGGCGAGAAAGCACTGCATGAGCTCCTCTGCAACCGGAGAGGAGGAACTCACAAAACAATCCTCAGAGACCCCAAAGAGGTGGAACATGCCCAGATGATGGAAGAGACACATCCAACCCTGGATTTTTTTCCCCCAAGGTTTCTGGACAAGGAACCTCGAGGGACAAGCTCTTGCTCAGAGCAGCAAGATGCTTATCTGCATGGTGTCCCTGGTGTGGGGACAGACAGAGCCCACACTGCTTCCAGTCCAGTGCCTCACCTGATAGCACCTCTGTGCTGCTCACTGAGGAACTGCCTAGGTAAGTTATAATCATGTTTGCTATTCATGTCTACAGGCTGACGGTCACAGCTTAGCCCAGATGGAAAAATGGACATAGAATCATAGTATCACAGACTGGTTTGGACTGGAAGGGACCTTAAAGACCATCTTGTTCCAACCACCTGCTATGGGCAGGGACACCTTCCACTAGACCAGGTTGCTCCAAGCCCTGTCCAACCTGGCCTTGGACACTTCCAGGGATGGGGCAGCCACAGCTTCTCTGGGCAACCTGTGCCAGGGCCTCCCCACCCTCACAGGGAACAATTTCTCCCCAACATCCCATCTCACCCTGTCCTCTGGCAGTGGGAAGCCACTCCCCTTTGTCCAGTCCCTCCAGGCCCCTTGTCCCAAGTCCCTCTTCAGCTCTCCTGGAGCCTCTTTAGGCACTGGAAGGGGCTCTCAGGTCTCCCTGGAGCCTTCTCTTGTCCAGGTGAACCCCCCCAACTCTCCCAGCCTGGCTCCACAGGAGAACACCTTTCCACTGTTGTGAGTTGGTTCTCTTCTTTGAGATTGTTATTTTAAGAGCAATTGCTCCAGTGAAGCATCCAACATTTTCCACCATCTCAAACAGTGCTGAAGCCCAAGTTCCCATTTCTTCCCTGATCTTCATCAACCCTGATTTCAGACAATATTAATGTCATTTTTGGCCATATCAGAACAAAAAAAGCACCACAGTTTTGTATCCCCCTTTCCCCCTGGCTGCTCAGCTCAAATGCTTTGGAACTGATTTCCCTGGGCTGTATTTTCCCTTTTCCCGTCATGGGAGGCCATGGGAGGAGCTGGGGACAAAGCCACAGAACAGCTGTCTGCCAGCACAGGGACTGACATGTTATGCCTATGTCATGCCAGGATGACTAGATTAGTTTTTTAACTCCAGGTTGGGAAGTCTGACCTTGGATCAGAAGTTAATTTCTTCCAGGGGTTCCCAAACGCATCTTCCTCACAAACCTTCCCAACCACCTCCCAGGGTTCTTTGTGCACACGAGTGCTCCTGTAACAGGAAGGGGTGCTCTGCTCTGCCAGGCAGGACATGAATTATGGATGAAATCAAGTGCAGTTCAGTGAGGACTAGGGCCTTGTGCAGTGCCCATCACTGCTGCACCCTCTGAGTCACTGCTGTAACGGGACAGGTAAGCCCAGGATGAGGAGTGAAGGTGCTACGTACTGTTGTTGGCATTATTTCTTTGGAGCTGTGGTTTCCACTTCTCTTCAACCACAGGGAGAGGTGATCTGGGCTGGCTGGAGGCAATGTTGTTCTCATTGTCAGCTGTGGGGCAAGAGACAGGCAAGGGTTAGAAGCACAAGATGATAAATGCTTAAAGCACAAAGAACAGGAAACTCCATGTGCTCAGCAGTTCCTTAGGATTCCCTTAACTAAGGTGAAAATAAGCTACTACACTCTCTGTAGTTCTTAGACAGTTTTCAGTGAGCTGGTACAGCACCCTCAGAAACCTTGAAACTGTCTTTGGACTCACAACCTGCCACCTCCCCAAATGTATCTGCAATGGCTTTTTCTGTGCATCAGCACACCTTGAGAAATGTCTTCTGATGAGCTGAAGCTGCATCCCAAGAGGAATGGAAGTTCCCTGTGCAGCCTGACTTGTTTAATTTTCTTGCTTCCGAAATGACAGGAGGTAAAACAGACACTGATCCTTCTTTTCCCTTATTGCCTCTTCCTGCACTGCAGGCAGCTGCCCTTTTCTCTCCTGTGAAGCACTTGGTTTTTCAAGCTGTGCTCAACTCCTCTGGATCTAAGGATCTCATTACAATCTTTATATCTGGTTTCCTCCCCTGAAGAGAGTGGGCCAGTATCCTCAGACTGCAAATACAAAGCCAAATAACCAAGAGTCTGGAGTGTGACCAAAGATCATCCCACCCATGGCTGCAAAGACACCAACTGCCCCCAGAGTCTTTGTGCTTGTGTTCCCATTTCTGTGTATGGAACTGGGCCAAACACTTTGGCTGTCAATCTGATGGGATCTTTCAAGGAAATGCAGGCAAGATCAGTAAATTCTCCAGTATATCCATGTTTTTTCCTTTCCTGTGCCCCAAGAACTTCTCCCCACCCTCTAGAGGAAATTTTCTAGTTCTTAGTATGCTTCAGTCTGAAATGGTGATCTGAAATAGGCTGTGAAGCAACACTGAAGTGCACAAAGAAATGAGGTGGAAGAAGCAGCAGAAAGATGGAGAGACTGATGACCAGGCTGAACAGAAGGATGGAATTAAACACAAAGAAAACAGAACAGGTCCTTTTTTCACCACAGTTGGACTTGTCTCACCTAATTTTGGACATCTGTCAGACACACCCCTCTTCAAAGTGGCCTTTTACACTCAGTGATGCAAACAAGACTCACAAGAGCCTCTCATTCCCCCAGGCAGAACTAGAGCCTCTTGTACTGTAAGGTCATTGGTGTGAACTCACTGGAGTCACTGACTTCTGCACTGATTACTCAGGGGGTCCAGGCTGGCCTGGACACACCAGCACTCAGTGCAGTGACTCTGCCCCGTGCTCCGACAGCAGAGCACGAGCTCGAGCAGGGCCTGGAGCACACACAGCTCTGCAGCCAGGCTGCTCTGTCCATCAGGACACTCAAGAGAGGGCAAAGCTGCTCTTCTCCATGTGTGCCAACGACCTGGGAGAGAAGGGAGACCAGCAGTGATGCAATGGAGCTCCAGTGCTCTCCTCCTTACAGGCAAGTCCTCTCCTCTGAGCAGCTCTGACATTCACAGACCTGCACATCAACAGCCACAGGCTGCACAGCCACCAGTGGGTCTGGGCACTGCACTGGCACAGGCTGGATCAACACCTAAGAGCAATCCAGGACATGACAGGACCAGGGCTGACTCGAGGACTGCCTCGAGGTCTGTGTGTGCCCAGGGAATTCCCTGGCCATGGTGGGTACCTGGGGAGCACTGCCATACTCAGGCTGCAGCCACAAGTTGGTGTTTGCAGGTGTGGAAGAGATATGAAGAGCAGGAGGTGCTCCAGTGACCAGTATGACACACCACCTTTCCCCCAGCATCTGCCCAGACTAATTGCTCTTGAGCTAATGACACCAGTGTCCTCAAATCCAAGCATCTGTGGGTGGGATAAGGAAAATGCTGGACATTGCCTACTAACTTTGGTAAGTAACTTCATGGTTCAGGCCCTCCTTGTCTTGGTGAGGATAGGTAGGGGTAGAAACCCTCTGTATTTCCTCACCATAACTCTTTTTATCTATTTCCTAACAATAGGGGATTTATTATATACAAATATCTGCTGGCATTCAGTACGGCATTAATGAGATTTACGCATTTCAGTCTCATCTTCCTTATCAGGCAGCCTGTGAACTACACAGATCATGGTTCTTTAATTTCTCTTCATGCCTCCAATCCTTTAATCCAGGTTCAGCCTAGTCGTCCTTTTATTTTTTCAGGCCTAGATTGTCGGAAGGGCATTATATGGCAGCACTCGACCTGAACAAAGTACTCTAAAGGGAGTCAAAGCTGTATATTGTACAGTGTAATTACAGAACAAATTCCTCTGTCTGGTGTTCTGCTGTTCTATTTCTGCCTTTCAGCACCCAATTTACATTCTAATTGCTTCTCCTCACTGTGTAGCTGCTTTATGGAGCTATAATCTCTCCTTATTACCTTCCAGCCTCCACACTCAGCCCTCCGAATGACTCTGTGTCCCTGGTTTTCTCCTGCAGGCCAGCAGCATGTTCCCTGGCCTCAGTCCTTCGTGAGGGGTTCAGGGGAGGCAGCACAGTCAGTTGGAAGAGATCAGCCCTTTGCATCACACACGACAAGCCAAACTAGGCTCCTGAACACATTAACTGAGGGAATATTTGACCCATACAGGTTTCTTGTATCCCTGCATCCCCATAATGAAATATTCCTTGGGCCAGACATATGGACTGGGCTAAACTGCCCCTATGTCAGTGTCCCCAGTCCGTGGATCCTGAGCCACCAGTTCTGCTGACCCCTGCAAGGTCCCTGCACTCTCAGACTTCAGAGATGTTGGGCCAACCTGCTCTTGGATATGGAAATAATAGAATCACAGAATCATGGAATTGTTTAAGTTGGAAAAGACCATTAAGGTCATCAAATCCAAACATCAGCCCAGCACCACCACCATGGTCACCACTACACTAAACCATGTCCTCAAGCTACCTGAGGGAAGACATCGACCCCCACCTGGTTCCAACCTCCCGTCAGAGCAGAAGGCAACAAACCTCTGCCAGAGTAACTCAAGCTCTGTGTGGTCCCCACGGTGCTCTGCTCATGTGCAACACCCAGAGCTGGACACCCATCAATGCTGGGTGTAGTTTTCACGTCTCTCCACTTTGCTTTGCCCTCATCCCACAGCAGCACGTCCTGCACCCACGGCCCTGGCTGCCCACGGGGGGGGGGAAAGGCTGCTGCTGCCCCCTCCAGAGGAAGAGGTGTGAGCAACAGGGCTGCCAAGCAACACACACAGAGATGCCACAGGAGGGGACAGTGGCTTTCACATGGGACAGCCTCCTAAAGAGGACAGCCGCTCAAAGAAGACAGGGACAGGCTCACTGTCACTGTACTGGTGAGACACTCGGGAAGAAGCAGCCAAGCAGAAGACAGGGACTTGCAAACAGAGTAGGGAGAGATGAGAAAATAGTTTAACAAGAGTAATCTTGAGCTGGGGAGAAGGGATTTACCCATTCATACAGCTCTGCAGGATACAACTGTACAGGAGTCAGATCACAGACACACCCCCTCCAGCCCTGTTCTGTGCCCAAAGCAACCCAGGTGAACAATCACAGAACCACAGACTGGTTTAGATTGGAAGGGACCTTAAAGATCATTCCGTTCCACCCCCTGCCATGGGCAGGGACACCTTCCACTAGCCCAGGTTGCTCCAAGCTCTGTCCAACCTGGCCTTGGACACTTCCAGGGATGGGGCAGCCACAGCTTCTCTGGGCAACCTGTGCCAGGGCCTCAGCACCTTCCCTGGAGCCCTCCCCTTGGGTCACTTGTAAAGAAAAGAGAAGGAGGAAGCTGCCAGCAGCACTGGATTAAGATTCCCAACAGCTCACACCCTGCCTGTGAGCTGCCATTCTCCCACTGGACTCCTCATCTTGGTCTCTCCTCTGCAGCTCCACTACTCAGTGCCACCAAGAGCTGAAACTCAAAATGCTGCACTTCAGTGCCAGAGTCCAGAGCAAGGACACAGTGTGGAGGCAGCAGAAACTGCCATGGAGAAGTAGCAAGTACAGACCCCAACACCACAGGGTGACGGCAGCCCTGAGTGGAGCTCCACTGCTCCTTGGGGTAACACAGAGTCCCAGCACTGCACAGGAACCAGCTCATGCTCTCACAGAAACCAAAACTCACCCCTTCTCCAAACAAATCACTATAAAAGTCTCTTTGTAACATTATATAGATGATAAATAAATCAGCTGCTTAACAGACCCAAAGCCTGCGTTACCATTTGCCAACAGGAACTGAATTGGATAGAGGAACCTCATGGATGAAGAACTCTAGGAGCACTGTTAAAATTAGGACTCCAGATAAACCATAGACCAAGAAAGAACTTTCATTAGAATTATTGTTACAGAATGGAAAATACTCTTTTTCTCAAACCACTTGTCCCCCCTTGCCACTCTCCTCAGGGCCTGCATCAAATCTGCATCTCAACAGAGCAGCTGTTTGTTGGAGACCACAGGTCTGTCAAAGGGCATTTAATTGTTTTTAAACCTGTGTTAGTTCCCCTGAATTTTTATTGAAGAGAAAAAAAAAAAAGAAAAAAATCTGCCAATATAAAAAAATCTCCCGTTTCTGCATTTTTTAATGTGCTGAATGCTGTCTTTGAAAGAGCTCTGGCTTTGAAATTTTAAAATCATCTCCTATATATCAAGACAGAAAAAAAAACAGTGACTTTGAAACAAAGTACTGGAATGATTCCTCAGAATTTTCTTTTGTAGGAAGCTGTGAGGGAAATGAACACAACCGCTGAAATGCAAATTCTTCTTCTGAGAATTTCAGTCCTTTGCAGAACTCCAGGAGACACAAGCACAGGACTGGACTTGTGTGGACAAAGGCTCTGCTGCCCTGCAAGTGTTTTTGGTTTGTTTGCTTCCATGAGAACTACTCCTTTGGGAGGAGGCGGGATTTAACCTGCTGCAGGATCTTATGCATTGAGGATTCTCTAGATACCTTTGGATAAAGGGCATGAGTAGTGTGATGTGCTCTGTGCTAGCAGGGCACGATCCTCCTCTTCTATGGAAAGGAGCAATATTTAGGATGTACCCTGAGCCTGCGTGCTGTAGCCTTTGAGGGTCCACGTTTGCTGCAGGTGAAATGACTGGGGCTTTGGGAAGGGGGAGCACAGAGAGCCCTGTGGACACACACGGGGGTCAGCACAGGCAGCAGCGCAGAATTGAACTCTCCGCCTGCAGCGAGTCCAAGTGCCCGGCTTACCTGCGTGGGACTGCATGTGCTCCAGGAGATTGTTATAAAACTGGAACTGGATTCCACAAGCTCCACAGGTGTAAGGCTCTGTTTGGGAGAAATCAGTTCAGAAGAATTACACAGAGTATGCAGGGAAGCAGCACACGTGCACACTGCAGGCTGTACAGCAGCGGGGCCGGACCCTGGGGACACCTCGGGCACGTCACTGCTGCCTGGGCTGGGGCCGGGTGTGCTTCCTCCTGCTTCACTGCACTGCCAGGGGAAGGCCCGGGATGGCAGAGGGTCAGCACTGACACTGGAGGGAAGCACCTGCAGGGGTATGTGGGGGGATCCCTGTGGATCTGCACACAGATCTGGGAGGCTGCACACTGCCACTCCCTCAGGCTGCTTTCAGCACATCCCTGTTCTTTCTAAGCCTGTGAGCAAAGCTTGGTAAGTTCATTTTACATCCAGTTCTGTCAAATTCCAGTCTCTGCTGCCTTTCCTGAGTAAGACAAGGAGCACTGGGTTGTGAACAATCCTGTAGCTCCGAAGCTGGGGCGTGCAGCAGTGCCATGGGGGAACTCAGCTGGTTTTGTGGCTGCCAGCAAGTGCAGTGAGACAGGGCCCGCTGAGTCCACGGGGCTGGGCGGCAGCAGGTCACTGCGGGAAGCAGAGGTGGGGGGCAGGAAGCACAGAAATCAGGGCTGTGCTGGAAGACTGAGAGCAGAGCAGGAGAGCCATGTGCCAGAGGAATATGGATGAGCTGGAGTCAGGAAAGAGCTGGGTGCAGAGCTCCCTTGTGAGCTGAAAGATACGTTCAGCTCTGTTCTGGCCAGTGTGTTGAAAGTGCATTTTTTCCACTGAATTAACCTAATAGCAAATGTTTGCAGTTGCCTGTTTAAACAGTATTAGTTGAGTGCATTATTTGACAGATGTGATCTCAAACTACAGTGCTGAGATATGGTAACATTACAGTTTGCCTCTATCCCTGCAGCTACACCAGCACTGCCACCTCTTAGACTGTGGCATTTTGGTTTGGAGCAGCAGAGTGGCATATAAACAACTTTGCATACAAATGCCTGGCACACACACAGAGCAAGGTCTGTTGCTGCAATATTTCAGAAATCTAGATCTAAGTTCAAAGGGAAAAACATATTCATTCTGCATCAATGAATAAGCAAAAGCACTAGCATCCAGGGAGGAAGACCCAAAACCCAGGAGAGCACAAGCCTGCCCTGGCTGTACTCTGCAAGAAGTCTGTAGTCTGTGTCAGGTAGCAAACTCCAAAATTTACCTGATGATTGTGGGAATCTGTGAGGAAAAACACCCAAGAGACCACGAACAGTCTGTACTTACATGCTATGAGGTTAAACCTTTCCCAAAGAACCTACAGCCTCTTAAACAACGGAGCCAGCTCCATCTGGAGTTGTGCTCAATGCTTTAACTCACTGTGTTTGCTTGTGATGCTACTCCTGGGTTTTGCTGTAGCAAGGAAGTTTGGAAGTACTGTACTTAAGTATCTGTGTTTGTGTAAAAAAGGGAAGACTTGGACAACTGATTGGCACTTTGGGATTTCAGGCCTTGGGAATTAACAGGGACTGGCTGTTTCTGCTGAAATGATCAGCAGTGAAATAGCTGTGGTAAAATGTCATAAGAGGTACAATGTAATCTAATTGTTTAGACTTATTTTGTAATTATCAGAGAGAAAAAGACCCCAGGCAGGTGCAAACCATCCCTCTTCACTATTTCAGTGTCAGATGACCTGTGTCACAGACCCACCTCTTTGCAGCTCACAGAGCCCAGTTTGCTCAGATGGAAATATCTCAAACTTGACTCCCCTTCAAGTGTCAAAATTAACATTTCATTAATGTAATGAAAGCAGTCACACTTCCAAGGGCCTGCTGCCTGCTGCTGACAGGTCAGAAGGGCTGTGGTGCTGCAGCCAGGGCAGTTCAGTGACCCCCCTCTCTGCTCCACTGCCCTGCTGGAGCCCCTGTCCCTACACCGAGCGGGGAGAACAGACCCTGCTGTACCTCTGAGGTGCTTCAGGAATGCTGACAGCTGGACATGTCACCCCACATTTCCCTGGACACTGCCAGCTCTCTGTGTGCCCCCTGAACACCAGCAGGGATGTGCATTCCCTGCTGCCATCGCTGCCCGTAGTGACCTGGGCCACACAAAGCTGTGATGAAGGAGCCCACTCCTCACTGCTGCACTCTCAAGGCCCCTCTCTGCTCCCACACAAACTCCACAGCTCACCTGGGAGCAGGTTTCCAGTAGCCACCAGAAGAGCTCCTCCTCAGCTCAGTCACAGGGTGCCTCACCCAGCCAGGACTCTCCAACCTGCACATTTCCCACATTCATTTTACCCTCTTCTTTCACTCACGTTTCCTTCTCAGCTGATTGTCTCACTGAGCTGCTTTACCTTCCTCCTGTTGTATTCTCAGCTATTTTATCACCACAAACCTGTGCTGTCTTTCCATCTCTCCCCTTGACTGACTCCCCTGCACCCCAGACCAGTCTTTCCTGGGTTCTCCCATCTCTATCCATCATGTCATGACCACCAAGATCTCCACAGTTCTTCATCTCAAGCTCCTCCCTGTGTGCTCAGTGCACTCATAACTCTGACAGGCCTCTCATTTCTGACTCTTTTCAGAAAAATTGTGTTGATTTTCATCCCATTTTCAAAAGCTGCCCCTTCTGTTCTACTCTAGAAATGTCCAAGTTTGGAAACAAAATTACCATCTACTTAAAAAAACTGATTTCACATTCTGAAAATGCCAAAACATTTTCTAAATACTTCTGAGACAAAGAGTCACACAAGTCTACAGTTTGCCATAAATGAAAATGAGTTAAGTTAAAACTAAGGATAAAATTTAAATTCACCCGACAATTCCAAAGTCTTTCCCGGGAACGAAGGAAGGGACACTTGGGAGGATGTGCAGAATCCCTGTGGGAATGAATGAATGAACTCACTTTACTTTCCAGAGCTTCCTCAACCCTCATACTTCTGAGATTTCAGCTTCTCAGCCCCTCAGGCTCCACAGCACAGAGCTGGGAGCAGTCAGGCTGCTTGGAAGTACGGTGGAATGTGTCAGTCTAGAAGAGGAAGAGGGATCTGGAAGGTGGAGACAAGGAAGAGGCAACTGGTATCCAAAACCAGGGAAAAGTCACCACTGAAAAAAAACTGTTCACCTGGGCTGGTAACACAGTGAGTAAAACCCCTTCCCTCTGAGTTCTCTTGCAACTTAAAGGTAAACTAGAAAAGTTGTCAGAACTACTCTGCATACCCTGTGAGCCACACTTGTGCCTGTTCTCCTTTCAGGAGCACAGTCGTCCCCCCCCGCAGCATTGCAGGACCCTCCCTTCCCCAGAAGAATTTCAGCTTCCCTCTCTCTTGCCCAGGCTGAGGTTTCCACATCCAGAGGGATCTGTTCTCCTCCAGGTGGGCTGAGCTCAGCAAGGTGCTCACAGGTCTTCCCACAAGTGCTTCAACCAGAAACCTCTCCTGTTCTTCTCAGCTTTTCTGGTAGAGGTACAAGGAAAGCTGAGGCCCCTCTGTGGTGCCCACACAGACCCCCAGAACACCTGTGCTCCCCTCAGCCCCAGCAGTTTTGGGTGGCCAAGGCAGGCCTTATGGATGAGCAAAGCAGAGGCAGCTCATGACACGGCTCAAGAGCCTTCCAGCCTGCAGCAGGACTGCCCAGCCAGCCTGTCTCACATTGCTGAAACCATCTCCCTCACCTTCCCAAGCCCCTCTGTGCCTCAGTAACCAATTCCTCTTGCTGTTCCACATCTGAGGGGGTGGGAGCTGTGGCAGGAGCAGCAGTATATCCTTTTGATGAGAAAACCCAGCCCTTTTTACCTCCACGTGCTCAGCCAGGCTCTCAGCTCTCCCTTGGGCCCACGGGCCTCTGAGCAGTGCCAGGTGCTGTGACCCTTCCAGCCCTGTTCCCTCGGGCTGGGGAGGAGGGAGCTCTGCTTTCTCCAAGCTTCCTCTGTCTGCAGATGCTGAACAGCTGCTGGTGCCAGCTGGGCTCCTGCTCTGTCCTTGGCTGGCTCGTGCTGCAGGTTGGGACTCCAGTTCCCACCACAGTCCCCTGAGCCCTCCTGGGCTGGTGCAGGACAGTGGCTACAGCATCCCCAAACCCCACCATTCCCAGCAGGGCTGCTGCACTCACACAACCTTCCTTCACACTTGGATCTCAAGGGAGAGATTCACCAGCCTGCAGGAGAAGCTTTCCCTTCCTCTCCTGGTTTCCACAGCTCACCCCAAGCAACCACTGCTGGGTGAGAGGTGACAGGCAGAGAGCTCATGGAGCCGCCTCCAGAGCACTCCTCACAGCCCAAAATGTCCAAAAAGGAAGAGAAATCATGAACATCTGGCCCCCCTGAGGGTGCCCCATTGGCCCTGCTGTCCCTCTGGCTCTGTGTTGTTGCTGCATGTTCAGAAGCCTTCTGCAAACCCTGCAGCTAAATTTGGCAGCAAAATCTGTACGAAATGGCAAATGTTGCAAGGCCAGGCCTTCCATGCGGCATAGGGTACAACACTGAGTATAGCACAGCACCTCTGCTGCTCCCCCACTATCTCCACTCACCATCTTCTTCCATCTCCTTCCTCCTCCACTCCCTTCTTCCTCCTTCAATCCCTCCTTCCTCGCTGCCTGTCCGTTGACCCAGCCCATGGCACAGACCCAGCAGGTTTTTCTTGAGCTGTGCTGTCACTGTGTCCCCTGTCCTTGTGCTCTCTGTTCCTGTGCTGTCCCTGTGCTCCATGTTCCTTCCCTGCCTGGTTGTCTCTCAAGCACTGCTCCTCTCTCCAGGAACTTGAGGACTGCACCGTGCTGAGCCTGGGCCCTGACTGAACAACTCCTATAGAACCACAGAATCACAGAAAATCCTGAGCTGGAAGGGACCCACAAGGACCATCCAGTCCAACTCCTGGCCCTGCACAGGACACCCCAACAGTCCCTTCATGTGCCTGAGAGCATTGTCCAAACATGTTGTCTGCTTCTGTGGCAAAATATTTGAAAATCTGAGAGGAGGAAATCACTCTGAACATGCCCTGTCTGAGCAGAAAGGACATGGCAGCTACAGGCAGCTGA